GCTATTAGTTTACATTGGGACATTCGGGATTAAAATCAGCTTTAATAGTCTATGTTCAGTTTTGGTTTTTAAATCTATACAGCGGTTCATAAACTCGCCAGTTAAATGCTGTTCATGTACATTATAGCGACAATCATATTTTATTTTTGAAACTCAACCGGAATTTGTTTTGCTACTGCTTCCGACCTTGTTCTCATTTGTGGCTGGGATGCTGCGTTCCAGTACTTTCTCTAAACTCGGAAAATGCACATTTTAATTTCAAGAACGAGTAAAAACCATATCACAGAAAAAGTGTATGAAATTATTCAGAAGCACAAACGCCTACTAGAATATCAAAGAGTCGAAATGAAAGATGAATTAATCTTCAGTTAAATGTGTGTGTGCGCACAATGCCGTTTCATTTAACAAAGGCAAACTGCGCACTTAATTTACTTGATGTTGACAATTAACACACAAATGCCCAACACATTTAAAGGCCAATGAGGGGGAAGTCTGTGCCTAGTTTTGCTTATAAATACTGCAATCACTAAGTGTTTTCATTTTCTTTCTTTTTTTCTGCCAAGCTTCAAGGTTGACATATCACAAGGTTGACATATCACAAGGAGTCCTTTCAATGAACCTCCCTTCCCCATGTTCACCCATTTAATGGTGAAAACAGGTTCTCTCCCTCTGTGACGTTGCAATCAAACAGGTGTAGAGGATGAATGGATGTGTGGATGGATTTTTCTATTCCTGTTCCTCATGTCCCAGCATCTCCAATTTGGTCAGATCTTTCCAAAGAACTAAGTTCAAGCAATTCTGTGATTTGTTTTGATTATTGATGGATTTGATAAGTCATGCTGCCACATGTCCTGAGAGTACAGAGGCTTCCTCTCTAAAGATTTCTAAACATAACATCCTTTTGTGATCTTTTTCTAATTTTTCCACCATTTGACATGGTCCATTCTTTCGCTGTTTGTGTCCATCCATGTTTTAAATCCAGATTGAAAAACAACGTCTCTGTTGATGTCTGATCTTTGTCACCCTGCCTTGGGTCCTACATCCGTCCAAGTGCTTGTTGACATGCACCCTCCCATGGCCGTCTGTTTCTTTGGGGCAGTCAGGTCATCCTGGCAGCAAACTTTGATGGTTCAACTTTAAAATCAGATGCAACCGCGACCCGCTAAGGGATAAGCCTGGCAGAGGACTAAGGCTGACATGCGGCACCCCACCTTCGTGCCAGCATCAGCCATCCCGGCAGCCATCAGACCGACCAGTGTTACTGTACCATGAGGGGGTTCATCATCCTCACAATAAGAAACAGATCTGAGTTTTTCACTGCACTGCCAAAAGCTCTCTAAGCAGGGCCCTGTCTGTTGGGATCCTGGCAAAGTTTGTGGTAGCACCTGGAGTGCCTCGGCATCACACAGCTTAAAAGAATGAGCCAACACAGTGGCTGCTGTCAGCAATGGCAGAGCCTTCTGTAAAAACAATTAGGTCTTTGACATTCAGCAGATGATATCTGGCAGAGATAAAGAAAAGGGAAGCCACAAGACTTTTCAAAACAAGCAACTCTGCAGAGAAGAAGGTTCAGAGAGGACACGGGCTTCTGGTTGAGTGCGCTTCTGTCCTCGGGGACGTAAGAACAAAACAGCATCATCTGCATATAAACCTATCTCTCACTGATTTTAATGTAAATAAAAGGCTTTTTTCTGCCTCATTTTCTGTCTGAATGATCCATAAATCGTATTTCATGAGATCCGTAAACAAAAACAAAAAAAAATTCCTCAAAAGTAGTTTATCCAAAAAGGGTACATTTGCACATATGTTCAGGTGAACATTTTTGGACATGAAGGACAGTCAAGAAGTCACATTTGTCTAAGAAAACCATCCAGGAAATACTGAAAATCTACGACAGACGACAAAAAATATATATATATTTTGTCTGACAAATACATCTTCTGATTGTTTGGGACTACTGGAAAATAAACAAAATAAACGTGAGTTCTTTGTGGTGCAAGTGAAGTAAAATATCCTAAAATCTGCGGAATATCTCAGAAGTCGATCGTGGATCAACAGTGGATTCAAAAAGGCAATCAAGAATAAGACATCAAGAGTAAGAGTCAACATCCTCAGATTAACTCCAGTGACAGAAGAGACAGGAATGGGTCAGGTTTTGGTTCAGAAGTTGATATATCTGCCAATGATTAAGGTGAAGGAAAACCTAGATCTCATAGTTCCTCAGCAAAAACATATTCTTCTATCAGGAACCTTGGGATAACTTGTGCTATGCTGAAAATGAGTCACGTTTTTGTTTTGGCAGGTGTGGATTATGGCAGAACACTCTACCCATGTCTTATCAAAATCTCCATGTGGAAAATGTGCTGCTGCCAGATTTCTGACAAAATCATGCAAGTTCTCACAGGTGACATTGTCGCTGATGAAACTGTAAAACTGTCTCAGTTTGTTTCAGTGTGCGCTTTTATTCTTGTTCTGACTTGGAAAGCTCTTCACGTCCAGTACCAGGTTTTGTCAGAGGACTTCTGCACCCACCTATCTCCAGTAGGTCCCTATTTCTTTTTATATCTACCTTTAATCTGTTTTTGCACGCTCATTAAACAAAAACAAAAAAAAAGCTTTTTAAAAACGTTGGCTTTCATTTCAAAGTTAATGTTTTTGCAGATAAAAACACCTACTAGGTTAAACTTTTTCAAAAATAGTTTTCTGTTGGGAAATAAAAGTCTACAGCTGTTCAATTCAGGAGTTTCTTGGCCATGACAAAGAGCAAAGTGAAAGAGTGTATTTTTTGTCTCTGGCCACTAGATGGCGGGCTGTTCATGCTGGGATCCCTGCAGTGACAGCTCCTTAGCAGGTCCTGATGCATCACAGCATGGAGACCGAGGTGAAATAGCAGAACATTAAAACTACTTTAAAAAAAAATTTTTTTTAACTTTTCAATGAACACAGAAGATGCCCGTTTTTACTTCAATTCGATCAGAGGTCAGAACACAAACTTGGGAGAGTGAGCAGGAAGTGATGGAGAGATTCTCCACCTGTCTGTCTGCCTGTTTACCCTGCTCTGTCCTGTTTTTGTTTTTGTCTTTAGTTCCTCCTCCTCCTCACTGTAATAAAAATGCAAGGGCTCACACACACAAGGAAATTCCGACGGGCCTGCATTCTGCAACAGCAGGCGTCCACACACACACCTTTCAGGCCATACGGGCCTGCGGGAAATCCCCTAGTTTTGTTTGAAGCGTAAAACCAGATGCTGTTTCCTCCTCACGCTCCGTTTTTCAGTTCCAACCGGTGAAATGTGACGATGGGTGTGTTTGTTTCAGTGTGTGTGTGTGTGGGGGGTGCCGGGGTCATGGGGTGAGGGGTCGGGAGTGCAGCGACTCAAAATGAATTCAGTTGGAGGTCTGCTCAGCGTTGACTGTGGATGAGGCTCAGTTAAACTGAAAGAACCGACAGAGGCGTCTGTTTCCTGAAAGACTGCATTTCCCACAGGTCTTTGCAGCTCGAGAACAATGTCAAGCTCACCTCGTCGGAAAGCGTGCTGCAAATATTCTTCTTTCAAAATAAGAGCTGCAGATTCCGTCTGCGTTTTTTTTTTCACTTTGATTTTGTAAGGTGACGTTTTCACTTCTTTTCTTTTTAAATCTGGTTGCATTTTTTTGTGATTTACAAAGGCAGAAAGGCGTCGTTGAGGTGTGTGGTGGCAGTGATCTCCCTCAGACGCGTGCTGCTTGGGTTATTATCACAGCTGAGGCTGGGGAGACTCAAGAGGAATGAACTTTATGAAAAGAGTTGTTCATTCCAGAAATCATCTAGCGAGAGTCACAAGCGCTGAAAGACCAGCACAGATAGGATCTTTGCTTTGACAGCGTGGATGGAGAAGTTTAGAAAAGGTCAGAGAGAGTCGCCGAAAAGCTGAATAAAGAGAAAGCGAGTGACACAGTGCCAGGAGAGGAACTGTCGTACTGTTTGAGGAAGTATGTTAGGATAGCACACAGCAGGAGCTGGGACAACAAGACAGCAGAGATGTGTGAGGTAAGTATTGTAGATTTGACCAGAAATCTGCTTTTAGCCACTTATCATCTCCATTGGTGAAACATCTCAGAGCAAGGTGATATTTGCAGAAGGAGGTAGACAAGATAGAAACAGTGGCATCGTGTGAGGAAGTGGGGAGCGGTGTGGAACATTTCAGAACAGTGAGACAGTGGTGAGGTGTGCTGTGAAAGGGAAAGAAGATTTCCAGATGTAACAACTGGGATGGAATCCTTTGCAGCCAAGGAGTCTGTTGTCTATTCTAAGGAACGTGGAGAGAGGAGAAATTAGCTGAAGTCACACAGAATCAATGAACGAGAATCAAACGGAGACAATGAAATGAGGAAAGCTTGACAGATAAGAGAGAGTGAACGCGTATGAGTCCATCTGCAGAACTTGCAGAGCATTAAAGACATGAACAAAAGAAAGACATGAACAAAACATTCTCGGGTATGATATGTGACAGAAAAGAGAAGCTTTCCAGCTGTGATGTTTGGAGCAGACGTGAAGGCGCTAACAAAAATTCTAAAAGTTCAGATTTTGCTCATGGTAAATAAAATTCGGGTACAGTGGATATTTATATACCATTACCTCCTGATACTCAATGTTTACGGGATGAAAACACATTAAAAATATTTAATATATTAAATATATATATGTGACAATAATAATAATAATGGAGGAACTGGGTTCCTGTTAAAGAAAGAAATTAGACATATATATATATATATATATATATATATATATATATATATATATATATATATATATATATATATATATATATATATATATATATATATTTTTTTTTTTTTTTTTTTTTTTTTTTTTTTTTTTTTTTTCAGGGATTTTACGATGAAGTCTATCCGGAAGTGGCGGGCCTGCGGGAAGGAGACCTTTATTTTAACCGTTTAAACCGGAAGTCGTCGGTGTTTCTTCCACACGTAGCTTGACAGGCTTTTTTTTTTTTTTTTTTTTTAATACCCGGACAGCTTCCACACTGGACTCGGACTGAGCCGAACTATGTAAGTAAACCTCACTCCCAACTGGTTCCGCTGGCCTCACGGCGGTTCCGCGCGGAACCAGAACCCGCCGGGGTGAACATTCTGACGGGTTTCGGGGGCGTAGGAAAGTCTGTGTACTGGTGGTGGTTCGCGGGGGGAAACGGCCCGATGTGTCAGGCCTCTCTGACTGACAGCAGCTCGATCCACAGGGAGGGATTTGGGTAGATTGTTGTTAGTGATGATTAAACTGATTTATGCCGCAGTGATGGCAGACGGAGAGCCGCATCAGCTGATCCCAATTTAGCTCCCCCAGAACTGAGATTTTTGGTTTTATTTATTTGTTTGTTTTTTACTGTGATTACAGCAAGATGGGAGCAGCTGGGATCTCTACAGAAGAGAGTGGAGGATTTTTACTGTGCTCTCATGAACGAAAAACGGCTAAATATGATTCTTTTTATGAGGTCCAATGTGTTGGTTAGATTTAAATTTAGAGCCAGGCCTGATTTCGTTAAGTTTCAAATGTGTGGGAAAACCCAAAGACATGACAGATTCACAGATCTCCAGCAATCTATCTAATTGGATGTCCCTTCGGGATTTTTATTCAGTTTAATAGGGAAGGTGGAACATGGTGACTCTGGAGGAGCTGTAGAAATCCCCAAATGTGGTGGTGGGGGAAATTTTGCTGACATGAAATCTAAGAAGGTCTGAAAGACAAACAATAGCAGACATGGCAAGATTATGAAAGATGGGGTCAAATGAGACCAACGTTTAACTTTTGACCTGATACACACATCGATCTGTTTAGAGGTAATCAAATACTTTGAACAGCATCGCCTCTCTAAACCATGGTAGTGGCATCAGCATGCTGTGGGGAAGCTGGTCAGAGCTCATTGGGAAATGAAAAGAATGATTCTAAGCAAACAGCCAGAGCTACAGAATAACGGCTCAGTCAAAGCCCAGACCAAATCCCATTCCACTGTGTACAGGATTGTTCATCTCTTGAGTTCAGGAGTCTGTTTTTTATGGCTGAATTGTTTTCAGAGAACAATGACTTGGCAAGCAAACATTTCTCAGAGAGTGGTCAGGGATAAAATCTGACCACTGCTGTCATCTGAAACCCAGATGACAACAGCTGATATCTGCAGGAAGCTTGAAAGACTTCATTCCTACAGATTGGGATCTGGCACAGAAGTCCCATTGATCGAAAACTGGACAAGATACTGGAGGATCTCCAGTGTGAAAGCAACATTTGTCCTTGCTATTTCTTGTCAGGAATAAAGCATTACATTTGTTTGGTTGATTTAAACGCTTCTAGCAAAATAACGTCCTCTCATCAGCATAAATTCTGTGCATGTGTTCTCTTTTTTTCAAAGTCCAGCTCATCTGCTGGAATCAGAAATCGAGCTGACTCAACAGTAGCTGTGATACTCAAACAAGTGTTTAATCTTTCAGGAAGTTTGATTGTTTAAGTGCCCGTCTCTGCAGCTGCTGATGACAGGGATTTTTTTTTTAGGGAATGGAAGACGGACAAAAGAAGCAACCCTAGCCCTAACCCTGACCCAAAATGTTTTCAAAATGTGGAGACGGAGACTTATGCAAAGTGAAAATTGGCAGAAACTGATGGAATTCTTGTGACGTATTCACTCACGTTAAATTCAGCCGCTCACCTGCTCAAAGAAAACAAAAGAGAAACTCTGAGAAGGAAGTAAAAGATTTAAAGGGGTTAAATCTCCACAGATTTTAATTTGAACACAACTCTGGCCTGCAGGTACGGAGTTGCTGCTGCATTCGTTTTCTGAGATGGTCAATTTGGACTTTCTGCCATTCATTCATAATCATCAAAATAACCAGAAATAAAAGAGCTTGACATATTCCCCTCTGTGAGAAAAACGTATATCGGTTTAGCTCTCTGAAATGAACTCCTTCACAATATCAAATTTCATGGAGATGTAACTACCAGCACAGTTTTGATAAGTGTCTAACCCATTGACATGAATCTCCTAGTAGCTATGGTCTGTTTTCTAGTTAGCTTGCTTTAACTATACCAAACCAGATTGGGATAATTGTTTATGTGGAACAGCCAGGCTTGTGCCCCCGTTTCAGCCATTCAGCTGCTTATTTGTTTAGGTAATCCTCCTTTCAACCTCAGCATGATGCTACCACCGCCGTGCTTCTTGTTGACCTGACAACGGGATCGTCGTCTCGTCTGACTATGATGCTTTTCTTCAGAAACAGTTGGCTGGACTTCTCTAGCCAACTGTTGTGTTGTCCCAACTTACAGACATGATGAGTAAGCTTTGGATGAGGGGTAGACCCCCGCCCTAGACCCCGTCACTGCGTTACCACGACAGAAGGAGTAGCGGAGCTCATCTGCTGGAATCAGAAATCTACTGTAACTGGGAACGACTCGTAGAGTAACTGTAACCGTTCCGCCCAACCTGGTCTGACTTTCTGAGCAGGGTGACCTCAGCCTGCCGTCACACCTGCGTCTGAACTCCCACCCTGTTCCTCCGCCTCTCCCCCCAGAGTTCCTGTGATGCCCCAGGGCGGGCCGAGCTGGCCGGGGTCGCGATGCCGTACGTGGACCGACTGAATCGCATCTGCGGCTTCCTGGACATCGAGGAGATCGAGAACAGCGGCAGGTTCCTGCGCCGGTACTTCATCCTGGACACGGAGCAGGGCAACCTGCTGTGGTATATGGACAATCCTCAGGTGAGCGAAGTCAAGCGGGTCTGCTCCTGAACGTAATTTGGGGTCTACAAAGCAATGTGTTGGCGATTGTTTTTTGCGTAGTGTGATATCACACAGAACGGATCAGGAAGTAAACAATATGGTGGAACATTATTACGATTGATTCAGTGTTTGGTGTTCATTTGTGATTTCCGTTTTGTTGAGGAAGAATGCAACATGCGATTTGCTATGGACAATGCAGAGCAGACTAACTGCTCTGCATTAAACTTCATGGAGATGTAAGATGTATCATGTTGAAACATGATACATTTGTGTTGATTGTGTTGATTATTCAAGCAACTTGATGGGAAAAATATTTACAGATATGTCAGCTGACAACATTTTATTAATATAATTAGTCGACTAAATCCAAGACGATTCTGGTGACTAAATTATGACAAAAACTGAATGACATTTTAGTCAAAAGACTAAAACTAAATGAAAATGAACACTGCTTTTGGAGCCACCTGCAGTTCCAGCTACACATCGTTTTTCTTCTGCCATCTTTAGGCAATAGGCAGAGTAACTTTTACCAGTTCTCTTTATTTTCTTTGGATTGAGAGTTTTAAAACATCGACCTCGCCCAGATTCTCAGTGAGATTTAGGTCTGGGTTTTGACTGGACCATTTCAGCTCATGTACATGCTTTGAGCTAAACCACTGTAAAGCTGGTTGGATGTTTACCAGCTGAGCCTCCAACCAGTCATAGTTTTGCTGCCTCTGATGGATTTTTAGGAGAAAGGAAGACCTGATTATACAAAGGCAGATATGTGTTTCTTAGAAAGTGTGTACAATTAAATATATTAAAAGTTTTTAGCTCCCTTGCTTCTACTGCTCCAATAAATGCTTCTTTTCTTTTTTTTTAGCAACAGAAGATAACATTTAGAGCTATCAGGGAATTCTTTAATAAAAACCACGGACTCATGGGATTAAAGCCTTTTTCTCTAAACGGAGGAGAAAATATAATTTAACCAGAAAATACACAAAAATAAACTCAAAGAATTTTCAAATAATTGGCTAAAAAAAAATCTGAATAATTTCTTCAGTTGTTATCGGAAAAGTTGTTTTTCTGCATTTTTTCCTCTGTGTTTACACTTGAATTGTTCTTTAGTGATTTCATACCTTCTAACCCGAACCTTGTTGCAACTCAGCAGTTTAATCATATTGTGAATGTCTCATTTTTCTTTCAGAATCTGCCTAAAGGTGCGAATAATGTGGGCTTTCTCAAACTCACGTACATCTCCAAGGTCAGTCCTCATTCAAACAGCGACACAGTTTGTGTTGTATCTTTATTTTGCCAAAAACAAGGAAATCTTTTACAAATCACGTGTATTTCTAGAACAAGAATTTCTATCTTTTTGGGCCAGTCTACAACCAGAAGTTACAGAAATGTGGAATTTTTCAAGAACAGATTATGGGTTCCCTTTGTCTGTTTGGCGGGAAAAATGGCTGAAAGTAAAAAAAACAACAAAAAAAAACTAATTTTGTATTCTGTGTCACTAATCCATGGTTACGATTAGTAAAGTTGGTTGCATTAAGAATTACATCAAACCTGCAGAGCTCTACTCGATCCTCTGTAACAGGTGTGCCCAGAGTTGGTCCTCCAGGACCGGCATCCTGCATGTTTCAGTTCTCTCCCTGCTGGTAGTAACAACTTTCTCAGCGTGTCAATGTTCTTCTTCGGCCTTCTAACAAGCTTTCATTTGATCCAGGTGCGTTAAACCAGGTAGAGAACTAAAAACATGCAGGATGCCGGCCCTCGAGGAGCAATTTTGGGCACCACTACTGTATAAGATCAGAATCTGGGAACCAGTGACTTCTTCTGTTAGCCTGAGCTAGCCTGAAGGACACTGTTAGCAGAGCGTAGCAGGGCTTAGACAGAGCACATCAGATTTTATGATCGAGGTAATTTCTCGAGCACTTTGGAGTTTGTTGCGTTCCATTGGGTAATTCTTAGGTGGTGTCCTCTGTGAAGTTTACTGTCCTCTCGTCTTCAGGTCAGTGATGCTACCAAGCTCAGGCCGAAGGCAGAGTTCTGCTTTGGTGAGTTTATTTTCCTCCTCCGTTTATCTCCCTGAACTCGCTCTGTCTTTGGCCGAAGCTTGCCTCCAGTCCCCTTCCAGTCCCTTGTTTCCTTCCTTCCCTCCTTCCTCATCTCTCCACTTCTTCTGCCCTCCCTCTTCTCTTCCCTCCCTTCCTCCCCCTTTTTCCTCATCTCTTGAGTTTACTTCCTCCCTTTTGTCCCGCGCTACTTGTTTTTCCTGCCGCGTGGAACAGCAGCTCTTTGTCACTCAATAGGAGGAAACCGTACAATGACAATGACCGAGCCGCTGCGTGCGGACATGTGCACATGTGTTTGCATCTAGATGGGATGTTAATGTGGAGACGTACATCCTCTCGGCTCTGAGAAACCAGAAACAAGCGGATATTTTTAGATGTGGATTTGTCTCCGTTTCTATCGAGTGTGGTGATAAGCCGGAGCATTTACATGTCTTTTTTTTTTTTATCTTTCCGCAGTTATAAACGCGGGCATGAGGAAGTTCTACCTCCAGGCCAACGACCAGCAGGATTTGGTGGAATGGATCAGCGTTCTGAACAACGCCACCAAGATCACAGTGAGACTCACGTGCACGCACACAGATACACACACAAATGGGGTTGGACACAGATGGATCCATAGTTGACCCTGTTTCATGTTGCCGCCGTCCCACACTCTGTACTCGGCCTCGGGCCACAGCAGATGGAAAATTAGCCATCAGACCGGACCGATGAAGCTCGATGCGGTCTCTTTCAGAGCTTCATGGGAAAGTTGTGGGCCTTCACAGGCCGATGCGCTTTGCAAATCATCCTTCAGCTTCGAAGCCGCAGGGTTAATCAGAAAAGCTTCTGCTTCAAAACTTTCTTTTAATTGTAGGGATTTTTAGAATGTCTGCAAAAATCGTCTGGAAGGCGAGAGACAAAACCTTGAGACAAATAACATCCTAATCCGGTAAATTAAAGAAAGAGAAAGTGGCTAAGGGAGGATTCCAAACTTCCTTTCAGGTAAATTAACTCCAGAAATCTGGGATAAGTTGACTCCAAAACTACACTATTTGGAGAACAATAATATTTAAGTTGATGCACCGATCAATTTTCTTCACTTCCGGTACCGATAACTGAGATTTAGGATCGGCTGACACAGGAACAAACTGTGCTGAATTGACTTAAAACATTTCTGTTTTTAAACAGACTGAAATATACTGAAATACAAATTTGTATAATGCAGTGCAGCACACTTAAATACACCAATAGCTTAGTCAAACATGTAAAAACAACTTACATTTGTTCAATCAATGCAGTTGTGAGGATAAAAGCCAATGTAAATTAAATAATGAAACTGAAACTGATAAAAACAGCAGGTTGACTGCCTTGGTGATACATGTAGAAAGTGAACTAAAACAAACCTTTCAAATGGTACAGAAAACGCAATTAGGAATTTTATGCATAATGTAAAATAAGTTTAGAGCACAGAGCATAGAGGCCCAAGAAGATATTAACATCGGGTCTTTGCATCTCTAATATAAATGATAGGGGGGTTTATTTAGAACTGCATGACTCTAAATCTACAAAATTAGATTTAATTTAATGGTGACTTTTCTAAGCAGTAGGTAACTTTGGTCCACATTTTCTACAAAATTCCAAATCTCAAGTTGTTTTCCCTCCTCAAAACACATCTAGAGAAGGGAAGACATTAACGTTGTCCAGAATTAAAGCTCCCCCTACAATTAAACAACATTTTCAAGCCTTTCATATCTTCATATCTGTTAATTGTGCTGATTATTCACTTACAGCTGATGGAAATGGGTAATTCTGGGACTAGAAGATCACATCATATTAAAAAAAAAGAGTAGTTTTAATCTTTTATTTCCTGATGTAGTTTGAAAAGATTCTTCTAATCTGACAAAAAAGCCTATTTGAAGCATGCATTTTGCATATAACGGATAGTTGGCCAAGTGTGCGCAATAATAATAGTATTATTGACAATATTTCAGCTTTGTTAGCAACTGCTGCTGCACGCAGACCGAAGGATGACGAATGTGTGACTCAACAAACCTCACCCAGTTGTAATTTTACTGCTTTTTTTTTTTTCTTTTTTACTTCTTTTGAGAACATAAAAATAAATGTCTAGAAAACAAATAAAACCTAGCTCGGCTCCACAGGTTGGTTCTGATCTCCTGAGTCGGGTCTGAGGTGTTACTGTCTCGTTACGCTTCAGGTGCCAAAGTCTGGAGAGAGCCAGGCCGCCTATGTGGAGACCCCCCAGGAAGCCCTCTGCGCCACGAAGCAGGTCTCTTACAAAACGGAGATCATCGGTGGCGTTCCGATCACCACAGCCACGCAGGTAACGCTTCCCCAGTCAGAGCTGTTGTCTATCAGTAGCAGGTTTAGTCTTGTCTCTGCAGGTATGCGGCTGTGCGTTTCACCCAGAACACAACAGCTCTGCTGACGGCTGCGCCGAATGTTTGTGGCTCATAAAAACCTGCTCGGCTTCACAACTGCTGGGGAAAAATCATCTTAGAGTAAATGCAGAGCTTTTCTGTTGCAAATTCATTTCACTTAGCCAAACTGAACCTACATAAAAAAAAAGAACTGTGACAAAGATTTTCTCAAAATTTACCACGTAATCCTACTCTAACTGAATACCGCAATCCTACTCTAACTGAATAATCTCAAATTTAGATGAATTGATAATAAAATTCATCATAACACCACACATTTTGTAAATGCAAAACCCCTCAAATGCACTGAATGCAGCTAAGCGAGGGCAAATAAAACACCTGAAATACCTGGACTTGTTTGCTAGTGACAGACATACAAGTTGGCAAGTTTAAAGTAACCATAGGTTCTGTTTCCAGTTTCCTGGCATACTGAATGTCTTGAACTGTAAGATGTACACCACTAGCGACCCAACAGAACCTGTAATGTCCGCTCCAGTTTCCTCACTTCTAAATTGGCTGAATAAGTTTTAGGTTTCTGTTCTGTGGAGCTCTATGAGTCAAAACTTGAACTCTTTGGATCCAGGCGCATTTTGGAGAAGGACGAATGAATCACACGTTGAAAAGAACCGCCTGTCCACGTTGAGGCATGGGAGCAGCTCTATGGTGCTGTGGGGACGGCAAGATGTATTCTATCATCCAGGCCTCCATTTTCTTCAATGGATTCAATCAGATATGACAATATCTGGCCTTTTTACAATGTAAAATGTTTGTTAATGCACTACAAGACACCTGTACAGAGACTACGCAGTAATCTCCTACGATGCATTCTGAGAACAATCAGCCAGGACATTTATTTGATTCTGGTTGAATAAAAACGTCAGGCAAAACAACTTAACATTAAGTTGCACATTACTACTAAATAAATGGGGTCTTTTTAATTTCCCCTTCTGTCTTAAACAAAAACCTTAGCGTTCAACCAGGTTGAGGTGAATCCTGAATATGTGGGTGTTTGTTGTAGGAACAGAGCGAAGGCCAGAACGGGTCGGACCGAGGGAAGCGGGCTCAGAACCAGCTGCCGTACTTCCTGTCCAGAGGAGCGCAGGACCAGTCTTTCATAAAGGCGGGATACTGCGTTAAACAGGGAGCTGTGGTGAGAACAGACAGACAGCTCCTCTGGCTTCCATGATGACACAGATAGTAAACTAGTGTTGATGTTCTGTATTTCATTTTATTTTTTTCAGATGAGGAACTGGAAGAGGAGGTACTTCATCTTGGACGAAAATGCCCTCAGCTACTACAAATCCGACCTGGTGAGAAAATGGGACGAGGTGGTATGTGTTTGACCACCAGACTGGAGCCAGATGGCTGTTAATTCAGCTGCAGACCGGAGAAAATGTTGATCTTAAATGAAGAAATTTAGAGTATTTTCTCTCAGGAGAAGGTTTGGCGGCTCTTTGCCTTCGTATCAAACAGAAACAATGTATCTTTGTATATTTCTTGTATCTTGACAACCTTTTCTGGACTTGGCTCGGAGTTTCAGCTCAATAACAGCTGAAACTCCGAATTTAGCTAGCTAAATTCAAGGCTCGTTTTGCTTTGAATTGTGGGACGTTTGTCTCTACACGCAGCAGCACGTGCTCTAAATTCCTCCCCCTAAGATCCGTGTGTGGACAAATTAAGTGAATGACATCCCAACCGGGACCTGTCGGAGCACATGTGGACACACCCAGGCTGTGTGCCCTCAGGCTGTGCGTTTATTTGTAGATGCAGCTGAGATCAGGTGATCTGATTGATAAAATCACTACTGCTGTTTAAAAAAAAAGGCTATGTGCTTCTGTGAAGAAAAACTTTTAAATTTGGCCCCGTGGAGGTTATGGGGAGCCTAATGCAGTGTGAAAAGCACAGAGCTGCTGCTAATAGCTCCAAACAGACCCCAAAACTCTCACTGCTTTTGCTATACTTTATTTAAATACAGCAGAATCTTCCAACCATCTCCAAAATGTATTGTTTTTGGGTTTTTTTGCTCTTAAATATCATTCAAGTTGGTATTTTAAAAAAGGTCTTAAAAAGTCTTACATTTGAAGCCCTGCTTGTGGGACATGTTTTCTTCTTTGTCAGGACCGTGAGGCACTGAGAGTTATCCCGCTGAAGGAGATTCAGAAAGTGCAGGAATGCAAACAGAGGTCAGTTAGCACCTGAAGCCATTAGAGCCTTGCGCAGGCCACGGTGTTCAAAAGCTGCTCGGTTCTGTGTTTTGCAGTGAGCCGATGATGCGAGACAACCTCTTCGAGACGGTCACCAACTCCAGAACCTTCTTCATACAGGTGACACTGGCCAAATTCATCTGGGTCTGATGGATGAGACTCACTTCAGCAACTATCCTCAGAACTGCCCAATAGACTTATTTAAATCACTTCAATGTGAGTTCATAATACTGTGTCTTTCAGGCTGACAGTCCAGAGGACATGCACAGCTGGATCAAGGCCGTCTCCGGGGCGATTGTTGCTCAGCGCGGGCCCGGGCGCTCAGCCAACACGGTGCGTATCTCGTCAGCTGAAGCTGTGCAGGAAACCTCCTTAAATGTCGGTGCAGTGCAAGCAGCAGTCTGTACTAATGTGCATAATTTCTAACTTTTATGAGCCAGTGAAGTGGTGCCACCATGTGGCGGTTACAAGTAAGTGCATCAGAGGAAGGAACGCTTCAACTCTGATTTATTGGTTCAAACACTGAGTGTGAAACGATCAGTAGGCCATATTTACAAAACACACACACACATGTTCACAGCTTGTGAAGTTTCTTCTTTTTCTGTCTCTGTAGAGTTTCTTTGCTAACTCGAACAGTGATCCACCACAAACTGACCTCTGTGGTTTTAAATTTAGGAAATATCTTAACTTGTTCCTACAAATGTGGTTGTTATTTTTTTCTATTCTATTTCTGGATTTCTGTACACAAGTCCACATTGTCTTGTTTTCTAAATGCAGGATAATATGGTTTAGGATCCACAGATCAGAATCTGATCATCGCAGGGCAGTTTGAGGTGGGTTGTGTCGGAAAGGAGCTCTCTGCCTCTCCGTTACTGAGTCCAGCTGTAAACTGTTGTTTCCAGATCCGTCAGGCGCGACGGCTCTCCAGCCCGTGTATACAGAGGTATACTCCGTTCTACAGTGGGGAATCCCGCACGTATGTGATCCCCGACCTCAAACCCTAACCTCCCACCGCCCCCACCATCCATCGCTGCTTCCCCGCTAACGGGCATTTAGCCCCACGCTCCTCCAGACGGGTCCAGCTTGAAATCAGTTCTCGCTTTAAATGTGCGGAATGAAAACAAGACGCTGCAGCCGGATGGACTGGAGTTGACCTTTAACCTCACAGTTAGAGTATCGGTCAAGTTCGGTTTTCAACATAAATGAAATACATCAACATTTGTCTCAGTAAATATGTATCTACTTAGGCTGATGACATAAAATGCCAGGAACTGTTCCACTAACCAGCACATATAAGAAAATCAACTCATTAGTCTGTAAATTGAGTTGTGTGTAATAAAGTAAAATGGTGCAAGGAATAAAAATTGAACACACTGACTGGAATTTATTCAGATCTTACTAGAAAAGCATGTCTAGTAAGCCTCAACATAAGGCCGACTTCTCTGGGCCCAGCGGTATCTCAGATGGACCATTACAAAATGAAAATGTGGATTGTGGTCGAACATTTCTGCATTTCAAAACTCCAGCTAATGAAAGATTAATAACACGGTCATGTTCTTTTTTTTTTTTTTTCTTAAGATATTTTGTACATTTGGACCTGTGATCTGTTTCTGAATTGTCTCCTCGTCTCTCTGAGCAACGTTTCCAGACTTCCCGACTCGCAGACGACCTCCCAAAACCAAGCTGTTACTTTGTTTCTGCTAACCCTCTGCCATGTTATCTTTCTGTTTCTCCTTCCTGTTGCGTGCGTGCGTGCGTGTGTGTGTGTGTTTTCTAGAGAGTGAGGTGTGACAGTGATACAATAACTTTCCCCAAATGAGCCCCGCCGCCTGCTTCCTGTTCCCTCCCGCTGCTGCTCATCGTCTTTATCACCAAGCCCTGCTGCCTCTCAGCTTCCTTAGCAACCTCTGCATCATCCTTCCCTGTTCCCCCGGCAACAGCAGCATCGCTCGTTCGTACGTGGAACTGCATGAAAGTTACATCTCAGAGCCCTTTTTGATCCGGGAGACCATCTCAGAGTGTTTGTATAAGTTCAATTAGAGGCAATATTTTTGTCTACAAAAATATTGTAGTGACTTGAGTTGCCAAGCAAAATAGTTAAAGATGAGGGCAAATTTGAAGGCACGTCTTTGTGCAGACAAGTTAAAAAAAAACAAACAAATTCATCCTTGCTGTAGCATAATCTCACACTGAAAAGCTTAGAAAAATCCAAAAACAGAATCTCACCCAGTATTTTTTTTTTGTAGTCTAGATTTAAATGAATTTGTCTGAGGACAATTGAAATACAACAAAGCTTACCTACAAGTCACAAGAAACAAGAGTTTGTTTTTAATCAATGTTGATGAAAAAGTCTAAGTTCCACTGGGAGATTATTTCACTTATAGTTTGTACTTTAAAAAAAAAAATCAACCTTAAGGAATTGTAATTTATTACTGTATTTTCTGACTTATGAACTCCATCCCTTGATTGCACTGCTGTCTTGTTTTTCCCATTTTGCGGAGTGGCTAGGGAGAAACCGCACTGTGTTCAAGGTACGTCTTCCCCGGAGGAACTCGGAGGCGGAATTTTTATTTAGTACTTCATACAAAATCTTTTTAGTAGGAATTTGCTAAAAAAAATTGTTGTCTAATAAAAGTCTTAACATATATAGTTTTAGAATTAATGTTATGAATTTGTTAAAAACAGTTTTAACCTTCAGGTTCAGTTATGAATTTTTTTAAATATTCAGTGTGAGATTACATTACTGCAAAAAAAGTATTTGTTTTTAATGATCTTGACGCATCTTTGGATTTATGGACAGAAGAAGATGAAATTCAAGAAAATATTTCTTAAAATGTAACAAATCTCCTGATTTTTGGCTCAGATTTGAATTTGATTCTTATCTCTGAGTTTATTTTAAAAAAACAACTTTACTCCCGTTATTTTGTGCTTTTCTTCTTTTCCATCACAAGCTCATCCATCCATCCATTCATTCATCCATCCACAGAACCATCCATCGGTCTGATCCATTAATCAGTACATCCATCATTCCCAGCCTCCTCTTCACCCTCTCACTTCCTGTCCCGTTCTCCTTTGTCTCCCCAGGAGCACAGTGACCTTCCCTCTCCCGCCTCCGCCTCCACCTTCTACTACTCCCTCAACACGGAACCGCAGTGCCCAGAACCCTCAGCGGGTGCTCAGCCTGACGCTGGACCCTCGCCACCAGGACAACTTCTTGGGCCTCCTGCCGTGGCGCCTCAGTGGAATCCAGCCTGTGATGATGCCGTTGCCTTCGGCCCGCTCGCGCCTTTCTCTGCAGGAGACGGTGCAGTCCTCAAAGTGACGCAGGCCGAGTGGCTCTGTGAGGGCAACCCCAACACGGAGGAGCCCGACTCGCAGATGACTCTGATGTGACGGCAACCGATCTTTGAATATTCTCCTGCTAAACTTTCTGGGACTGTTTTTTTTTTTTTTTTTTTTTTTTGTCTTTCTTTTTTTGCCTTTACATGTGGCTCCGCCCACAAGGTCTTCCTCTGCTGTTCCCCTTCACCTCGTCTTCCTGAATATCTCTCACAGTACGTTGCAGCAGATCATGCAGTCGATTTAAGCTCTCAGCAGGAGTCCGGCGACAGGAAGGCGAAGAGATTCACTTCTGAAACAACCAAAGTTTAAAAGGTCGCAGAGAGACGCGTTCTCTTCAGTCCTGTGTGTGTTATCTGGAAGTTTGAGATTTGATATGAATTTGTGTTGTTTCCTTATCAAACTGTTTTTTTGTTGGGTTTTTTTTGTAGCTGAGATTTTCCCAGGCACAGATAAGGAGACATGTGGAGTCTTGCAAAACTTCCTCTTAAAGATGCCGGTAACACTTTAGTTGAAGGGATGTGCATAAGATTGATATGACTCCTGTATGACGCCTGTTGTGAACATGACTGGGTTTTTATAAATGTTTCCATGTTAATTCAAAGTTGACAGCTTTAATGAACTTTTAATGCAAGATTCAATGCAACTTTGCATTAGAAGTGTCATTATTTACCGAATGACACTTTGTGGCAACAGTCGTAAACATTCATGAAGACTCCTTCGTGTTTCTGACAGTGTCATGTCGGTCTTATGCACACCATGTCAAATGAAGTTACCAAGATGATCCCAGTTAGATTTTATGTCCTAGTCCAACACAAATTAGTGCAGCGAAGTGGAAGAAAAATGTGTGGTTTTAATGGGGACGGAGGGTTTAAGGTAAAAGTCTGAAAAGTGTGGCATGTATCTAGAGTCAGTCCCCCCTGAATCAATACTTTGTAGCTCAGGGAGCATCTCTTCACACCTGAGTTCCACTTTGCAAATGATTCTCCCTGGACCGGATCGAAGAACAATAATCCCATAGCATCATGCTGCCACCACCGACATCTGTTACTGTGGGAACAGTGCACTTAGAGTAATGTGCGGCCTTTACTTGCACAGCTTCAAACAGTTCAGTGGGTCAAAAAGAGTCAGTCTGATCAGCCGCCTTCCTGCTGGAAGTGAACTGTATACAGGCGGACTTTATTTATTGATTAGATGACTTTTGAAGGCAATTGTTACAACCGAATTTTAAATAGGGGTTTCAAAATCTGCACTGTACTCTATTTATTCCACTTCAAATTATGCAGTTGATGTTGCTAAATAATACAAAATGTATATATAATACAGATTTAACAGTCAAGGGATATGAATGTTTTTAAGAAAGCTTTGTAAGACTCCAGTGATCCAGAAACTCTGCTGCCACATAGTGTGTACAACTCGTATGTCAATTATGTTGTTTTTTTTGTACTTGCGTTTGCTTTATCTGCATATGCTAATAAGTGTTAAAAAGCTTGCTATATATTTATTTTTATTTTATTTTTGTTTGATCCTAAACTAATAAGATCAAACAAATTATCAGGAAAAAAAAAAGGAATAGGAATAAGGTTACAAAGAAATAATATATTTTCACAGCACTGTTTACATGCAAAGAAATGCTTTGCGACATTTGCAGAAATCATGCATGTGAACACAAACACAGAGACACAGTTAATGTAAAAATAAAGATATTTGACTTCAAACTAAGCAGAAACACATTTAGATAACCTAAAAGGAAGAAAAAAAAAGTTTAAACCATTTTTCTTAAAGTAAGTTTGATTGTCAGTTTCTCGTGTTTATATGGCGTGTCAGAATATAACCTGAATTATTTAAGTGAATTTATCTTTTTGCACCTCTGTCACTCCTATGTTAATCAACGTCTGTTACAGAAACTGGACTTTTGTGTGTGTGTGCAGTTTGGCTCGGCAGAAACCGTTTGTGACTTTGCTCAATGTCAGCCTCTGCCCTGAGTGTGGAAGTTATGCGAACCACAGAAATGCTTCAGCATCACGAACTCTGACTCTGGAAACATTTCCTTCTTGCTCACCAGCTCCCCTCGCCTCACCTTTAACTTCCTGTTCCTTTACCTGACGCCTGCCGGTTTGCGTGGGAATCTTTTGAGACTCAAGCCGTCCGGCAGGTTGTTTCTCCTCTTGGCTCTCTGGTTGTGGGTGTTTCGTTGTTGTTGTTGTCGTTGTTGGTTTTTTTCTAGTATTGATATTATTAACTTTAATGAGGCAAAAATAAACCACATATATATGTTGTTTACTGACTTTTTATGAACTCACGTGCATGACTGTGCGCCCCTTCCCTCCTCCAAACGTGTTGTTCCCTTTGATACATAAGTTGGGTGAAGTGCCTGCGTCTATCTTTCTAAAGAGCAGATTTTCAAAATACCATGAGCTATTTGATCCATTTGTGTGTGTACGTGGGTGAGACTCTACAACCATTTTTTTTTATTTATTAAAAGATATTTAAAAAAATAATGAAAGTGTTTTCTTTTAAAAAAACAAAAACAAAAGTCCATTCTGTCGTACATCTACTTCTGTGTTTGGGATTATTCAGCTTTCATGCAGATGGCCTCATATTTTACTGTGATATTCCTTCCAGCACAGAAACGATGGCGGTCCACTCATTGACCTCAAGGTGACTCGGCCCTCTGGGTGGAAACTTTAACCCTGATCACGAGAACTGAGGCCTGAGGAGTCAAGCATGTAGTTCTCGGGGTTTTTAGCAATTTTCTTGAGCATTGCGGTCCCTGAACGTGGGATAAATTTGCCCACAACGTTTTCCCATTTGTGAATTCCTGCTTTTATTTTATGCTCTTGTTGATGAAGATCCAATTGTTTCTTTCTTTCTGTCTTAATTCTTTTAAAAGCATATTTGGAGAAGTTTTCTCACAGCATTCTCAAAGAAATGACATAAGCCACTTTTTGCCAAAAGTTTGTTTGTTTTTTTAATCACATTTGGCAAAAGTTGATTGAGGAGGGCGAAGTTATGAGGAAATAATTTAACAGCTGAAGTCAGTTGCTGAGGGACAGATTATTACATCCTGACCTGTCAGGTTTTCCTTCAGTTTGGATTCTGACCTGTTGCAGAAGAAGTGTTTAAAACACAGCACACCCGGAATGGATGCAGGTTTGCTGCAGAAACAAATGAAACATCACATCCATCGCTGCATGTCTCAGCTTTCAAAAAAGCAGAACATCCCAGCGACAAAAAAATAAATAAAAATAAAAAACACTCCTGTGTTTTCCCGAACCGCACAAGCCTGACAGATGTCCACCAAACCAACGCCAAGTCCGCCTTCACTGATCCAGCTTTTTGTCTTTTTTCTCTCTGTGTGTCTTGGACGCACATACAGGTTACTTCTGACTGCGCATGAGTGGACTTGGATTGAGCCGTCTGCCGCGCTCAGATGGGACGGTGTGTTTCTGGGAAAGTCCAGAACAGAGCAGTGGATCAGCCTCCAGAGGCCTTCGCGTCACGAACAGAAACGGCTCAGTTCAACAGGCCGAGGACGTTTCCGCCAAGACCTTCTGTTCACTTCATCTGTTCAATCCGGTCGGTGTTGATCGTGTGATTCGCGTTGATGATGATTTAAAGTCCAGTTTCAAGGTTCGGGGCTTTTTTCCTCCACCTCCATGGTAACAAAACGCTGTTTCTTGTCAGAGTTTTAAGAAAATTGTGGATTTGTATCATAAGCTGTCAAATAATTGGATCTGTCGCACACACACGCACAATCAAAAGTCAAAAACTGGACATTAAGAAACCTCGTTGTTCTTTTGTTTTCCACGAAAAGCTTCTTCTAATTTAATTGAAATAGAATATTTTCTCTTCTTTGCCCAAACCCAGTCCGCAATTTTCTCTGTTACAGCAGAAAAGTGTGTAAGCCAAGAAAACATCCAACCAAACTGAGCCAAAAGGAGCATGTCATGCTCAGCTAAAGCTGGTGAACAATTCCTCATGTCTCTATTGAACCCAGAAGGATTTATTAACTCCGAAGAACAATATGAGGTTGTTTTTTTGTATTTTTTTAATTATAATTTATCTATAAAAAAAAAACATGTCATTTACGACCCTTAAAATGTCTGAAACAATCCCATGTGTTATCCAATAAAATCAATAAAATTCATATGGGGAACTTGTGCAAGCCTCTGACATTTATTTTATTATTTTTACATTCACAAAATGTTTTGTTTACATATAAGTGTTTGATTTAATGCAATAAATAAATAAATAAATAAATAAATAAACAAACAAGTTGACGTACCGGATTCTGCCAGCAGGGGCGCTAGTAAATAATAACAAAAATCATAATGATAATTTAAAAAAATACACAGGCCTTCTACTGCATCACTCCAAGATCAACTCCCTTCACTTTCATACTGACAGTCACCAATCTGTAAAAGATCACCCATGACAACCGTCTTTATTATTTCACCTTGCTCAAAACTCTCTTCTCCATCTTTTGCCCTCTGTCTGGATATCAATTGTTTTTAATCATTATTATTGTATCTGTGATCACCCCCGCTGCAAGCAACAACAAAAAAAAATAGCATCTCTGATCTAATCCCGCATTGGTATCGAACTCCTCCTAACGCACTCCTCACCACTGTCTCACTGTCCAGCTGTCTCCACTCTGCTGTCTCTGCTGCTTTCAGTGTCACTGGAAAACATCATCGCTGCACCGATTTCTCGCTTCCCCGGTCCAGCTCCTGCATACATCAGTGCGCCATCTTGAAACACATTGCCTCACCGTCACTACACCGCCCCGTCGAGCGCTCAAAGCGCACGTCATCCCGTCTACAGGGTGCATGAGCTCATTATCTTTTTTTTTTTTTTTTTTTTTTTTTTTTGCTGCTTGCATGCAACATGACGAATTAACATTGCAGATGACAGGAGAAAATGAACACCAAACTCCCCCTGAACAAACTTTTCCACAGCTGGGAGACAGCTCACCAGCAGGCCATCGGGGAATCTGGCTGCTCCAGAAATGTCCAACAATGACATAATAATCAGACGAAGCCGCATATGATGTCATAGGTGCTGTCACTGATTGTTCGGAGTTCAAAACAATCGATAGTTTCCAAAACAAACTTCAGCTGTGTGCGTGTATGTGCGTGCATGTGTGCGTGTGCGTGTGACACGGCCGAGATGAACGGCAGTCTTTGCTGCAGAATATTTCACGTTTTTAACGGCTTTGTTAATCGGATTGTACACAAAATAAAACACATTTTTTTCCAGTTTGTGGCCCCAAATCTGAAATGTATTCAACTTCATTCAGTGATAATAATTAATGAGTCTAAATCTATTCAGTTCTTATTATAAGTTTGTGCTACTGTATGTGCATTTAATTTGTTTATTTAAAAAAACATCTGATGAACTATTCGATGACATAGAACTGGACCAAGAATCATTGAATCTTTATTCATATTGAAGTTAATTACACGTCCTTTAATTTGACGAAAGGAGTTCAACTTGGTACAGTCTGATGCTGAGGGTCAGAATGACTCTGGCATATATGAAAGCAACAAACTGACTCCATAAAAGACCAAGATGAACAGCAGAAAGTAAATCGGGCCAATGTTTGACTTCCTTCAAACATCGCCTGGCAAAAACGTTGCAACATCCTGCACGGCCCCGCAGAGGCAACAGTGGAACTTTCCAGTCTTCTGCACTGGAAAAATCAATGTGACGATTGCTCTTCAGCTCTGCCAGGGGTCACCGGGTCAATCAGAGGGCAGGGGTGGCTGTGGAAACCCTGCGGGATCAGTGGCCGTTTGGAACAAGAAGCAGATCCATTCCATCCAGCTGTCAACTGTTTACAGAAAGATTATACATCCGGCGTTTGGAGAAACAACAAGAAACCCCCTGAGAAGATTAGCGAACCAATACCTCAGAGTGGCAAAAAAAAAGAAGATTAATGAAACATCAATCCTTTTCATAACATAGAAAACATGTGAAAGGAGGAGAAAAATTAACTCTGCTCAAAATACTCCGATCCTCTGGAAATGTCTGTTTAAACAGGAACAGGGAAGCAGGTGAGAGTCGCTGGCAAAATGCACCGAGATGAACGGAGGACAAGTGACAAGGAAAACTTGTCACTACCGTCGTGTTTTCCACATAGCAATTTTGCATTTGGAGAAAATTGCAGAAAAAAACAAACAAAAAAAACTCCTGACATAAAGCATCATAATTCATGCATGAAAGTGATAAAAAAAAAAAAAAAACGGCATCCACACAGTAACGCACGGTGGTGTCAGCATCATGCTGTGGGGATTCTGTTGCCCAGCAGTGACTTGGAAGTGAGGGGGAAACAAAGCAGAAATGGCAAAAGCTCAAGTTGTGACCATCATGGGATGACAAGCCCCTGATGTACCACCAGCAAATAACCAAAGTGGCTAATATTAGTAAATCCTACCAATGGCTAGAAAAAGCTGGACTCAAGGACAGCACAGAGGCCCTCATCCTGGAGTTTTTATATCGACCCGTGGAGGCCCAGTCCAAATGCACTCCACACTTTTCAGGTGAGGCCTCTGAAACAAAAGCAGCTTCCGTCCCTGAAGATAGAGATAAAGTTGCCACTTAAAGTAGCTTCCAGTTTATCAAACTTGAGTTCAGTCTGCTTAACGTCTATTCCGCTAACATACAGCTCAACCCGTCCCTCCTTAAGAATGACGTCACGTCACCGCCACCAATCACCTCCTAGTTTTATCCCGCAGCTTGTATATACGGGAGCGGCCGGTGAAAGTTTCCCCACTGCGTCTGTTTGTCCTGCAGCTGAAGGTGCACAGCTCAGTCACGACCTATATATACATACATATTTAAAACAACTTATTAGACACAGACTGCAGCCTTCTTCTCCAAGTCTCTTGGTTCCTGTTCGGACAGTCCCGACATGCAGCTTCTGTTTCTTTCGTGCGTAATGGCGCTGCTCGCCGCCTCCTGCCTGCTGTCCGAGGCGCGCGTCGCCAAGCGCTTCGCCATCGACTGTCCGGAGAGATGCGACAAGTCCCAGTGCCCGCAGATCCCCGCGGACTGCCTGGCCGGCGACGTGCTGGACAGCTGCAACTGCTGCCCGGTGTGCGCGTCCGGCGAAGGCGAGCAGTGCGGCGGGCCGGGCGACCAGGACTGCGCAGAGGGCATGCAGTGCGTGGTGACCGACGGCGTGGAGGTGTCCGCCACCGTGAGGCGGCGGGGCAAGTCCGGCGTATGCGTGTGCAGGAGCGCCGAGCCGGTGTGCGGCAGCGACGGCGTCTCCTACCGGAACATCTGCGAGCTGAAGCGCGTCAGCAACCGGGCCACGAAGCTGCAGCAGCCGCCGGTCATCTTCATCCAGAGAGGAGCCTGCGGGAAGGGTGAGCGCGTGTGTGCTTGCGTGCGTGCGCGTGCATGGTCAGATCGCACCTAAAGAGAAATGGGCGACGTGACAGGTGGGGTCGGCCAGAAGTATGAGTAAACTTTGCAACATATTTAATTATTACTGAACTGTGTTCAGTGAACAATCACCTTTTTTCTTTTAAGCAAATTTAATACTTGAAGACCAAAAAGTAAAACAAGTGATATTATATCATCTTAATTAAACCCCTGTGTTTCTTTTGTTTTGTTTGTTTGTTTGTTTTTCTCGTCTTTGTTGTTGGGGACCAGAAGGGTTTTTTAAAAAATTTTTTGTCAATTACTGGACAAATAATATATAATGCATTACACGAAGGCTTTGTCCTAATCCATAATCTGAACTGTGGATTAGGACCTTTACACAAAGAAGGCAAGAATGCAGTACTGCGGTCCGTTTTGCAAAACGAAAAGGCACAGAAAAGGATCAACTGAGAGGAAACCAAGCTTAAAGGGAAGAGAACCGCCGGATGAAAGTCTGCCGATGTTCGCTGCTGAACTCTGTTTTCATAAATTTAATGTCCTATTTCATTAATCTGATTTAAAGTAAACTCCAGGTCATTGCAGCTTTAGGGATGCAGAAGGATGTTATATTGTAATTTAATTAGATTTTTTTTAAAGTTTCAATGAGCGCCCTTGTGTTTTCACCCTCTATTTTATTAAAGGAAACAACCAAGTGGCACGGAAACCCAAGTTTTCACATTTAAAATGATACTAACAGTGAAAGCTAAATGTTTTTTCAAACTGGCCAGTCCGTAGTTCTTTTTTTTTTTCTTTTGTCTCTTTGGTCTTCAACAGGACATTTTCACTGCCAACATTTCATCCTCCCTTCTCAATCTCCCCTTATTTTTAAAAATAACTTCAGATGTATTTTCTTTTCATTTCTGGCACAGTTTCCTGCAGAACATTGATTCGCTCCTATGTCCTCATCCTCTCATCACGCTTATGCAAGAAGGTCATGTAATCATTTAGATAATAGGTGAAATGTCTCCCTATGGGACCTTAATTACATAAACTGATCGACTGGAGCGCCTGCACATATTTTATTGTGCTATCGAGAAGTGGAACAGACAAACGCGGATAACTCAACAGGAGGTAGCTTGATAACAAAAAGCTACTTGTTGAGAGAAAGAGAAGTTAATTCTCTCTGACTGCTGCTACAAACGTTTACACACTCCTTTTCACATTTTGCCACAAATGTCCTGTTTTCTGACTTTTGTTAGAAAACTCTAGTGAATGAACAGTAGGGGCAGAAAAGCAGAGCAGACAGGTTGGGGGGGGGGAGGAAAGTTGTGGAGACGTTTGAAGCAGTTATGAAACAAAATCCCAACCTTGGAGTGCGAACCAGAGAAGCTGCAGAAATGTGTGACTCACGACTTACGCATTTCAGCAGACACACAGCTCAGCTAAAACAATCCAAGCTGTAGATTGTGTTCTCCACAAATCTGACCTTTACACGAAGAAGGCAAGAATGCAGTATTGTGGTCCGTTTTGCAGCCGTTTGCAATTTTGTGGTCAATTTTTGTTCTGCCCAAAATGGGCCACAATTTGTGCTTGCTGTGCACATCCTCCCACAGCCAGAAGGAAGCGTTACATTCATAAACCCTCTGGCGGTGGAAGCATCATCCTGTGGGGATGCTTTTCCTGAGCAGGAAAGCCGCACAGCAACAACCGCAGGACGACAGCCACCGAACGCACAGCCACCGAACGCACAGCCAGAGCTGCAGGGGAGTCAGTGGCAGACCTCAGTTGCGGGATTTACAGCGTTTAATTGCAGCAAAGGGAGATGTGACAAATGTATTTGTTTAAAACAGTTAAAATGATGTGGAGTGTTTCTTTTTCTCCTTTTTTTATATCCACTACTTTGTGTTAGTCGGTCACAACCTATCCAGATGGTGTTGTGATTTTTTTTTTTTAAAGTAGGATGTCATAAATGTGCGAAAAACGTTATAAATCTTCTGCTAAAGTCATGGTGTTAGGATTGAAATCAAACGGGAATAGGTTTTTTGACCTGATAAGGCATCAAAAAAAACAAACCAAACACTCTCCTCCTACCACTTCCTGTTGTGTTCTTTGTCTTTTCCGCCAGTAGTAACAATCGGTTGTTGGTCATGTGACTCATGTGACTTCCCGCTCATCCTGGCGCAGCGACTTTTTTATGGAAAATGGTGAGTTTCTTTGAAACTGGCCTGTTTCCATTACGCAAGTTTATTTTCATCAATTCCGATTTGAATACTTGAATACTAATGAATACTCCTGCAACATAATGTTTGAGATTTCTGGTTTCTTCACGTGCAATTTCATGAATAACCCTGACAGTTTCGCCTCTCCACTGCTGAGTTTTCGTGAGGTGGTTCTGCGTTACGGCAAACATGGCTTATTTGTTACACTTTCTTCCTCTCCCCGTGTCTTTGGCCGCCCTCCACCTCCTGAACGGCGCCGTAAAACTGCAGCGAGCTCTAAAAGGGCCTTTTTTTCCAGCTCCGCGCTCACTCCCTCTCAAACACACCCTACTATGTTATCTTAACAGGGTCATAATGTGTTGAAATAAATCCAGGGCGCCTCGAGTGACTGCCCCTGTGCGGCTGAACGCGCACAGAGCTCCGAGTCATGAAGGACGAAACACGTCCTGGAGACGCCTCAGCTGTGAACACACCAAACCTGCTGAGGCAGAGACTCTTAGAGTCAAACAAGGTCAAAGTCGGGCTCCACTTTCTCCCTCTCCTCCTGAGAATCCAAAGCATCGCGGTGCATCCTCTCCTCCCCGTCCTCCATCTGTAATTCGTTCATCCAAAAACCACATTCATTCGTCATTCCTTGACTCTGCTCCTAATCTTAAGCAGTCGTTTTTGATTTACGGCTCGGGAAGGAGATCTGGACGGTGTCGGTGAGACGCCGGTGATTCGCCTCTTTCGCAGGGTTGTGTAACTCCTTGAGCACAGACAGATTTAGGTCAGACATTTGTTTCACCCAGTTCTGGAGATGAAAACATTTGCTTCTAACTCCCTCTCTGCCTCATCTCCGTGTGCAGACCTGCCGGCTGTTTGGAGTCGAGAAACAAACGTTTGCACGCTGACTCAGCTCGTCCATGAGCCCAGGGGATTCTTTTCCAAAGTGATCCCCTGGATAACGGCTCGTTGTTTGATCTGCGTTAAGACTCTCCCTGTGCTGCATTCAGGGACACCTGATCTTGCCATCTGAGGCAGTTTTATTTGCTCGGTCAGAGGCCTTTCCTGACCTCCCAGCGCGCTGAGCTGTTACCAACACCAGCAGCGTAGCTGGCTCTTTTTATCCAAATTACTCCTTTAATTTCACTTCAACTTTCAAAGCTGCATCAGCTGGCAAAGCATTAATCCTGCGGGCGAGCGTCCGGCCAACAACACCGGCAGGTTTCTTCCAGATGCTCGGGTGGAGAGAACGCCGCGGACTGCAGCTCTGGAGGTCGAAATATTTTCAGTTCTTTTTGTTTTGAGCTGTCAGCTCCAGGTGCTCACATTAAATCTGGACTCACTGAGCCTCTGGTTACAACGTACCTTATAAAGATTTCACCCTTTTGACCGGAATCCCGAGCGTCACGCCTCATTTCTTGCCCTCTCTGCGTTCCTGACCGGATTTGTGTTTCTTCCTGTTTCTCCAACGATTCTGAAAGTTTGGGGAAACGATTCGGCAAGTCAGTTCTACACCGAGAGTTGAGATTCGTTTTTGTTTGGATCTCTCTAACAAAACAGAGCGTTGTAGCGCACGCCTCTCTGCAAAGTTGTATTTTCTCAGGTCAGGGAAACAGGAAAGAAAGAGAGGTTTAGAAAGAGTCACATGGAGCAACCATGCTGCCCAAGGTTCCTGTCTGTGAAACGAAACCAAGTGGTCGCCAAAACGACAGAGCCGAGAGCTTTTCCTGTGATAAGATCTGAAAGCAGCCGAAATATTTGCAGGGCCTCGGCCAACTTCAAGATCCTGCCGACTTGCGACCGTGAGGAAAAGAGCAGAGACAATGTCCTCGCTGAAGACTCTGGTCTTGTCTCGTCCGGTTAAGGTCACATTCATTGTGTGACATCAGCGGTCGGATAAAAACATTCGTCTTTTAAGAAGGATCCAGTCGAAACATTTAAGCATGCGTTCAGCTGGATGGGCCTCATATCTGATGGCACTGGTCGGGTTTTCTCAGCCTGTCCAATTTTTGTCTGTCAGGCTTAAGATCTTTAGATTTTCTGTCATCAAAATAATTCCTGAGCCATCCGTTCATTTGTCAAACAATCGATGCCACGAAAACTCTACATATTTAGAAAACTCTAAATATATCCTATACTCTTTACTCTATAGCTAGCTCGCTGGCACTGTCTCTTACTCTGCAGTCGTGGAGTCACAATGTCTGGGATCATGAGCGCCCCCTGCCATGAGGCAGGAGAACTGCCTGCTTGGCCTGGAGTCTGTCCTCTGCTGTTTCTGACCACTTCTCAGCTCACGAAACACATTACACACATAGTTGGTGACAAAAAATACTGTGCATTATGTACATCATGGAAAATCAGTTGATACAATCTCTCCATATCTTTTGATGCTTTGAACTTCCTCCTCTGTTTTATAAGGATCCGAAGGAGAACCTCTCTGAGGTTCACGTCCACATCTGCGTCTGACATAAACTCTTTGTCCGCAGTTTCTGTCTGTTCGCTGCGATCGTCAACGCGTGTTTACACGTCCAACCTGGCAACCCAAAAGCAGAGTTATCGCCTCTCATCTCTGCTGTCTGCCTCTGAGGCTGGACCACCTCTGATTGGCCGCGATGCCACGCACTGATACTGTGTTTGTCTCCCTTTCAGCTCAGCTGAACCTCGACAGTCTGAGGCACAAATACAACTTCATCGCCGACGTGGTGGAGAAAATCGCTCCCGCCGTCGTTCATATTGAACTCTTCCGCAAGTAAGAACAACCAAATGTTCCTGCAGCCGCATTCAGTTGAAAACGTTGCAACATAAATCCTCAGCCCAGCTCTCTGTGATTCAATAAAGTTCATCTTTAAAGTTATGAATTGTCTGGAAAGTCCTGGTATTAAACAGGATCATCCGTAGGTACGAAATGCTTAGAGTTATTTTCCCTTCAGGATGATCTTTTCCAAGAGGGAGGTCGCCGTCGCCAGCGGTTCTGGTTTTGTTGTTTCTGAAGACGGGCTGATCGTCACCAACGCCCACGTGGTCGCCAACAAGCACAGAGTAAAGGTAGGTATAAAACACCTTGACTTCACTCATGACTGATACATTTCAAAGAATGTTGTCCCATCCATCCAGGCCCTCTGGAGGACAACGAATAGCCTATTCTGATATTTCTTTTCTTTCTTACAGGAAATGTTAGATTTTCCTGTGCTGCAGTTTTCATTTCTTCAAGTTGTTTTGTGACTGCTTAAATCTTTTCTCCACGCCCTGCAGGTGGAGCTGAAGAGCGGCGCCACCTACGACGCTAAGATCAAAGACATCGACGAGAAGGCCGACATCGCCCTCATCAAGATCGACGTACCGGTGAGCGACAGAGAGAAAACAGATGAACCGAGTGTCTTCTTGTTTGTCTTCACGTTTACGATCTCACACCGGAGCTCATCCGTTTCGGTTTCATTCTGCTCCCAGTCGCTTTTCTTTTTGAATCAACTCTTCCTGACAAACCTCAGAGTCTTTGAGCTGTGACTCCCTCCACAAATGATGAGGGACATCTTTTTGTGGCACGGCTTACACATTAGAGCGTTTTCTCCGAAAATGGATCCCTGCTTTCAAAAACAACAGAAATGCTTCCACACAGAATTTGTTTTTTCTTTACTCCTCCAGGCCTGTAAGTGGCGCTAAGCGTGGAATATGGGACGCGTTCCTAAAGCTTACCACACAAGGTTAGAAGTGAACCCAACAAGAAGACAAGCATGGCGTACACCAAGTGATGTCTTTTATGTCGAGTGGCGACGAAATCATAATGTCACTTTAGCATTACGAAACAAATTATGAGACCAGTGTGTGTCAACATATCCGCATGTGATGGTTTTGGGGTTATAGGTCAGGTTAAAAACTTGAGATGATATGTCAGTGTTTTCACAAAAGAGGTGTTTTCTCCTCTTTTTTAAAATATTTTATTTTATCTTAATTTCAATCTTTGGTCTTATTATTTGTCTGACAGTACATAAGGAAAAGATACAGTTTCCTGAACAGTTTATTTCCTTAATAACTAATGAACTAAGACAATTTAGCTGAAAGATTTTTGATTCATTTGTCTGGCAGTTACTCCACATCCTTAAAGCTTCATTATTTTACATTTCAATTTATATCTTATTTAAACATGAGCCAGCCTCTTATGTTCTAACGTCCTACTTCTTGCATCTTCTTGTTCTGTTTCTGTTTTCCAAAACAATCCTTTCTCCTTCAGGTGTTTACAGTATTTGTGTGTTTTTCATTAAGATTTCCTGAGAGCGAAGTCTGGTATTAATTTTAAAACCAATGGGATGTTTTTTTTTTTTTTTAGGCGAGGCGTCTCAGGGAAATAAATGTCATGACTCACTAAAGTGTCAACAGATGGAGCAGGTCAGCAGGGACCGAGAACGGTGTTTATGTGTTTTAAATTTGGCTTTTGCTTTTCACAGCACATTGTTTTTGCTTTGACGCAGCGTTTATATGGTAAAAACAAAACCAAAAAAACCCCAGCAACTTTTGTTTCATTTCTGGGCACTCAGAGTTTCTGCTTCCTGTTCGTACTCTTTAAGCTCCTCTTTGGTTTGTTGGCCAGTTTTTGTGCATCAAAAATATTTCTTGATTTATGGCGTTTTTAAGTCAGACTTCAGTTCAGACAGTTCAATCCACGTTCATCACTTCTTCACTAGTATTTTCAGAGGAGCAAACAGGCAATAAATTAAAGGAAATGAAGTCCAGCTGCGCTTATGAAAGCAGACCGAGCGTGTTATGAAACTCTGAATTGGCGTGTTTTCAAAAAAAAAAAAAAGAAAAGTCAACTTTCATAACCGTTTAAATACAACTGAAGGGTAAATTTGCAACATCAAAGTTAAGTTTGAACTCTGCAGGCCTGAGGGGAAAAAAATTAAACCGTTTGTGACATTTAAATATATGACTGGAGTAGATTCGGCCAAACAGGACATAATCTAATCTTTCACATAAAGGACATTTTTATCATCTTTTTTCTGCTCCTTAGAAACTCGACCTTGAGAACCGACGTGACACCAGAAATTGGACACAATTTTGACTCTTTTTGGTGCTTTGGCAATAAATCACCCGACTGCAGATAAGAGAAAACGTCTTACTCTGCATTTCTTCAGAATAAGTGTCATTGTAGACGAAGCAACCAAGGAGAACCAGTGACTGCTCTCTACTCTTGCTCTGCAGTAGAAATACACATTATTTAACTTTAAACACTTTATATTCTTAAATTAATACATATGTTGCTGCAAAGGGAGAGTGCTTCTGGGTTACAGTGTCACCGCTTCACTCTAACTGGGGAGCCAATTTCAAATGTTGCAGAACTTGCACCATTCGTGTACTTTATATACGTCATGTACATCAGCAATTTTGTCTATTTTACAGCCAGTTTGTCTGTCATTGCAATATGACGCATGGTTGCCTGAAACACAAAGAATACACTGTCCCATTCCTTGCTTCAAAACTCCAACTATGTAATTATTTTTCGGTAGATATCTCTACCAAAAAACATTGGAGCGATATGAAAATGAACGTAAGCAGCCAAAAAACACTTAGCTTTATTTACACAGGTAGATCTCACTAAGAGACAGGGAGGCGGGTTGACAGCAGAACAAACAACGAGCCAGCGCTGCAGTGAATGTTGGCTTCTTTGCAACTGGAGCTCCAGGGCGTCAATATGAAGAAATTCATTAACTGTCAGAAATGGTTTATTTGTTTATTTATTGGTTAGCTTGGAAACACAAAACGATTCATCACCGCAACACCCAGAACTCAAATACCCTCTCGTGATTCTTCACCGCGTCTCATCACAACTGGTTTGAACCTCATCAAATCTGATGAGGTTCACTTTCGCATGATGTGGGGGGATGTACAGAAAGCAAACGAAGGAAAGGAACTCCAACTGAGCTGTTTCTCTTAGTGTTGTTTCTCTATCTGGCTTTTAAATTATGAAGCCCTATTTGAACACTTGCGCACAATGTGCTTGCTTCTTAATATGAGTGCTGCTCTTGCACAGCGATGGGTCTGTATTGGTTAACATCATTTTTCTCTCTTCTTCTGTGGCTGTGTTCTCCTTACCACTTTTCACTTTAACGATCCCACAGGGTTCTGTACTTGGCCCACTATCGCTCTCCCTGCTTCGACTCATCCATATGCAGATGACAGTGAGATTTATCTTCATAGGTCAAATCTTTAAAGGTTTTTCCTTTTCCTTTTCAAATTAAAACATTTGCTTTGCCTAAACATCTTTTGATCTAAGTATTTGCACAGAACTTCTTATATAAATACGAATGAACAGTTTTTTTGTTAGGACTTACTAGGTTAATTATCTTAGTGGATTAAAATGTTGAAAGGTGAAGTTGGAGTTTGATTTCTGTAGAAAAAGTCTTGATATGCACTGGAAGTTTTCCAGCCCCGTAGAACAAAACCAAGTAGATTTTAAGTATGTGTTTTTGAATACGTACTCACTTTAGTGCTTGCTTTAACTGAACGTGTTGCCTGCTGAAGATTCGATCCAGCCTTATAAACTGGGTGAGCTTGAGTACAAGTGATCTTAGTCACATTGCCTTGTTCCTGAAACTAAACTAAGTAAAAAAAACTAAAAACGTCTCATCTTTGTTTTATTCTGTTGCTGTTTGCTGCACGGTTAGTCTGTTGTACACCGTTTCGGTCCGACCTCAGAAAGTTTGGGTTCAGCCGCCGCTCTCTACAATACTCATGAAGTCATGACCACAGGGAAAGAGCGGGTGACGGCGGTGTTATGATGCACGGCTTGTTAGTGGCGAAGCTCTCTTTAATCCTTCTGTTCGTTGGAGACGGCCTCTCTGAAAGCGGTGAACACTCTGCAGCTCAGGAGGTCCCAGAGTGTAACTGCAGCTGCGAGGAGCCAAGTGCAGGTGAAACTGTCAGGCGTGTCGCTGCAGGTTCAGGACAGGAAAGCCTGGGCTTTACGCTAATGGAAAGAAGTTTAATTCTCTCTGTCGCTCATCTGCTCCAGTTTCTCCTCTCCTAACAACAAACTCATTCTGCTGCTCTGGGAAAATACATTTGATCACATAACTCATGAGATCATCTCTGAGCTAAGTTATATTCTGGCTACAGAGAAACACGTTTGACTTTTTAGTGCATCATAGGTGGTCTTAACACAGACTTCTGCTTGCATAGAACTGCAGATAGTATCGGAGCCACACAAAGAAATTTAGTTCAGTGGAGAGAAACAAAAGGGAAACTTGAGCTTGAATCGTGACAGTGGTGTGTTTAAGTCTCCAGCTGCGGCATCTGAGGCGTCTTTCCCCTGCAGCCTGTACAGACAGGAGCTCCTCCTAGGCGTGCTTTTAATCTCGATCTTAAGAGAGGCCTTGCGGCGGTAATCGGCCTCGATCGAGCCACGATCGTGTTCCGTGACACCGTGTGGAATCTCTTGTTGGATCGACTGTGTCGACTTGCGTCTCGGTTCAGAAACCGATCCGGTCAGAGTGGTAAATCTCTGCTAGGTTTTTGAAACCAAATGATTATGAAAAAAAATAAAAAATTCCACGAAAGGAACTAAATAATCTTTGCTAAGTTTAGGAGAGCAAAACAATGTCATGGCTGTAGATAAAGTCTGTGGAACGCCACGCTTCTTCTAGGAGAGGAAAAAGTCTAGTAGCAATGAAAACAGAGGAGGAAAGCTTCTAAAAAACAGTGTTGGTATCTACACTGCACTCTGGGGACAGGATGACTCTTTCGCTCTGAAGTTCCCGCATCCATGACGAAAACAGGTGCTGCAAAACATATTAGTGCAAAGAGCAAGGGGGACTCTTTCATTTGGCACGGGAGAAAACGGTCAGCGCTTTCTGCATCAGGTTATCCTCCCTCCTACAGGAAAGAAGACAGTTTTTCATCCCTGTGTGTTCTGAAGAGCCCTCTGTGATTTAAAAGAGTAGCTGTAGCTGTGGGGCGGACACTGACAGACAGTTCAGGGTTTTTCTGTATCACAGTGGAAAAACTCCTGAAACCGAATCTGTGTGCCGCGTCTCTTCCAGGCGCTGCTGGAGTTTTCCAGCGTTGTTGGGAATCACTCTGCACTTTACAATGCACCACCTGGAGGGACTGAGGCGGGAGGCAGCGTGCTTTACCAGCAACTAGGCAGGAAATTTACCAGTAACTAGGCAGGAAGATCAGCCACTGCTGTGACTTTGCTTTTCCTGCTGGAAAATGTAAAATTGTCCTTTGCCACATTTTAGGATGAGGTGCTGCACTCAGCAGCCACCTAAGATTTTATCATTATTATTATTATTATGTACAGTGTTTTTGCTGAGATCCAAATCTTTACTTTGGAATCAGGTCAATAA